CTTGTCATACTCCTCCTCCTACTAATATTAATAATAGAAATAATATCTAAAGGTTATAGAGAAATACTACCATGTACTACTTTCAATCTTTCAGCAAAGTACCTGATTTGATCCTCACAAAAAGCATACTCAGTAGGCATTATCTTTCTCCCCATTTTGGAGGCAAGGAAATTGACAAAGAGAAACGTTTTGTAAATTACTCCTGACTCTGCTGGTAGCCATTATAGTAGACTGTCTCTCTATGTGTTTCATAAAAGATATTTTAAAAAAAAAAACCATCAAAGGACTTCCCTGATGGTCCAGTGGTTAAGACTCTGCACTGCCACTGCAGGGGGCATGGGTTCGATTCCTGGTTGGGGAGATAAGATCCTGAGTGCCACAGGGTGTGGCCAAAAAAAAGATAAGAAAATAAGAAAGAAACCATCAGGCACAACTGGAGGCCCTGACCTCAGAATTTAGAAACAACCAAGTAAAACACAGCCGGTTCAGGGTTTGTCTTGAACAAAGTAAATGCTGTGTCTCTGTTTTGTTCCTTGTGTTTTGTAATTAAATGTGAAAATACTACTATGTGCTTTGAAAATTAAATGACTTCATACATACTGAGACCTTAACCCAGTGACTGGCACATAAGAAGAATACAGTACATATCAGCTACGACACTTATCATTGTAATTCCTTGTGGCACAACCCTGCAAACTCACCTCTTGCTGGGAAGAACCTGAGTAAGGCAACTATAGACTCTTCCTGTTACTGAGGTCAGGTAAGTTTCTGTAACTGATGGCACCCTCCTTCCTCAGCTGTCTCCAATTTCCCCTCCTTGAATGAACTGAAGCAGACAGAAACGTCTGGGCTTTACCTCCCACTGGTTGATACTGTTGTTGCTATCAGTTCACTTCAGTTGCTCAGTTGTGTCTGACTCTTTGCAACTGCATGGACTGCACCAAAACAGGCTTCCCTGTCCATCACCAACTCCTGGAACTTGCTCAAATTCATGTCCGTCAAGTCGGTCATGCCAACCAACCATCTCGTCCTCTGTCATCCCCTTCTCCTCCTGCCTTCAATCTTTCCCAGCATCGGGGTCTTTTCCAATGAGTCACTTCTTCCCATCAGGTGGCTAAAGTGTTGGAGCTTCAGCTTCAGCATCAGTCCTTCCAATGAATATTCAGGACTGATTTCCTTTAGGATTGACTGGTTTGATCTCTTTGCTGTCCAAGAGATTCTCAAGAGTCTTCTCCAACACCATGGTTCAAAGGCATCAGTTCTTCAGTGCTCAGGTTTCTTTACAGTCCAACTCTCACATCCATACATGACTACTGGAAAAAGCGGAGCTTTGAAGTAGATGGGCTTTTGCCCGCAAAGTAATGTCTCTGCTTTTTAATATGCAGTCTAGGTTGGTCATAGCTTTTCTTCCAAGGAGCAAGCGTCTTTTAATTTCATGGCTGCAGTGATTTTGGAGCCCAAAAACATAAGTCTGTTACTGTTTCCATTGTTTCCCCATCTACTTGCCATGAAGTGAAGGCATGATCTTCCTTTTTTGAGTGTTGAGTTTCAAGCCAGGTTTTTCACTCTCCTCTTTCACTTTCATCAAGAGGCTCTTGAGTTCCTGTTCACTTTCAGCCATAGAGGTGGTGTCATCTGCATATCTGAGATTATTGATATTTCTCCTGGCAATCTTGATTCCAGCTTGTGATTCATCCAGCCTGGCATTTCACATGATATACTCTGCATATAAGTTAAATAAGCAAGGTGACAATCTACAACCTTCATGTACCCCTTTACCAATTTGGAACCAGTTCATTGTTCAACATCAGGTTCTAATTGTTGCTTCTTGACCCACATACACATTTCTCAGGAGGCAGGTAAGGTGGTCTGATATTCCCATCTCTTGAAGAATTTTCCACAGTTTGATATGATCCGCACAGTCAAAGGCTTTGGTGTAGCCAGTAGAGCAGAAGTAAATGTTTGTCTGGAATCCTCTTGCTTTTTGTATGATCCAACGGATGTCAGCAGTTTGACCTCTAGTTCGTCTGCCTTTTCTAAATCCAGCTTGAACATCTGGAGGTTCTCGGTTCACATACTGTTGAAGCCTAACTTGGGGAATTTTGAGAAATACATTGCTAGCATGTGAGGTGAGTGCAACTGAGTGGTAGTTGGAACATTATTTTGCATTGCCTTTCTTTGAGATTGGAATGAAAGCTGAGCTTTTCCAGTCCTGGGCCACTGCTGAGTTTTCCATTTTGCTGGCACATTGAGTGCAGCACTTTCACAGCATCATCTTCAGGATTTAAAATAGCTGTTGCCATAGCAGCACTCAAACTTTCCTTCTGAAAACCCTGGGGAACAGGGACTCGTAGACTTCTTCCGAGGCTTCTGCCACAGCTGCTTGCAGGTTGGATGGCCACTCAGGTATTTATTTACTTACTTTTCATAGAAGGATAATTGCTTTACAGTATTCTGTTGGTTTCTGCCCAACATCAACACAAATCAGCCACAGGTGTACACATGTCCCCTCCCTCTTGTACTTCCCTCCCATCTCCCTCCCAATCCCACCCCTCTAGGTTGTTATGATGCCCCTGTTTGGGTTCCCTGAGTCACACCACCAATTCCCATTGGCTGTCTATTTCCCATATGCTCATGTATGGTTCCATGTTCCTGTCTCCATGCATCCTACCTTCACTAAGGCATTGAGGGTTAGTAAGGGAGGACTCCTCAAAAGTCATCTGCAGGGGTTCTCCCCATTCATCACCCAGACCCCAAACTGGACCACGCCCCTGACTTCACACCCATTCTGCCAAATAGCCTCTCATCAGGAAGGTCAAGGGAGAAAAGGAACTAGGAAAGCACAGGGCGTGCTGCTGTGCTAAGTCGATTCAGTCGTGTCCAACTCCCTGTGACCCGATGGACTGTAGCCTACCAGGCTCCTCTGTCCATGGGGTTCTCCAGGCAAGAATACTGGAGTGGGTTGCCATGCCTTCCTCCAGGGGACCTTTCCGAGCCTGAGATGGAACCCCAGTCTCTTATGTCTCTGGGAGAGTTCTTTACCCCTAGCACCACCTGGGAAAGGCCCTTAGGAGAGGGGATAAAGAATGATTTTCCTCACTCATATGTGAGAATAAAATCCCATCCTTTTCCTTCTCATGTTGGAGCCTGGGGCTCCATGAGGGAGTTCTACATAGGACCTGTCCATAAATGAACACCCTGCCTCCTTGGCTTGGCCTTAGACATCTTGGATTTGGCTCCAAGTCAATTCATCAAAGGCCATCCTTTTACCAAAAGTCAATGCACAATGACCAAATGAACAAGTGGATCATTCTTTGCAGGATTAAGTTACTATATGAGTAATGTGCCAGAGCTTACCAAACTTACTGACTTACCAAAAACTTTATTGTGGTTCTATGTATTCATTTCAGCTTGTTGTTACTTAGCATACAAAAATGCACCTATTTAATGTATATATTTTGACAAGTTTGTACATATATACAAAACCATGATACCATCACAGTGCTGTTATTTGTTTTAAGAGAAGAAATAATCTGGATTTTTAAAAACATTCTATTCATTTGTTTGTCTGCACTGGGTCTTTGTTGCGGCAGAAGAGATCTTCCATCCTCACTGCGGTATGTGGGCTCTTAGTTGCAGCATGTGAACCCTTAGTTGCTGTGTGTGGCATCCAGCTCCTTGACCAGGATTCCAGCCCAAGCCCCCAGCACTGGGAGTGCAGAGTCCCAGCCACTGAACCACCAGGGAAGTCCCAGTGCTGTTATTTTAAATCCAGAGTTTACTGGGGTTTTCTTTGGGCACAGTGACCTGGCCAAGGGCTGGGGAGAGCCAGCTGCATCAGGTTCTGTACCTGGACGCTCCCCGTCCCCATTCTTTAGTCCCTCTTTCCTCTGGGACAGGCAACTGGAGAAGACTCTCTTCCTCTGCCAGCAGATGACCCCTCCTCCACCCCAGCCCCCAGCTACAAGGGGAACTTGGCTGAGGGCTTTCTCCTTCTCCTCACCCTTTCCTGGGTGGTTTCTACCTGGGAATTCCATTGGAAGAAGAAAGGCAAGGTCTTCCTGCTTCCATTAAATAATGTGATTATCCTGCATCAGTGCTCAGGGCCCACGCCTCCTGGCTCCAGGCAGCACCCAACCATGAGCCTCCTCTGCGGTGTTCAATTAGCTGCAACCCAGGTTCTCCCAGGGTGTTGAAGGTGACAAGGTATATCTGAAGGCCACATGATCAGCTCTGAGCTGGGGAAGGAGGGCTAAGCTTTCCACCTCTGGGAAAGGGGAGGAAGAGGGAAAGAGTCTCACACTGACCTAGACAGAGTCTCCTCTGGCAGTTCCTCTGTGGAGCCAGGAACGCCCCCTCCCATAGAGTGGTTTCTGTCTGCACCCCCGCCCCACCCCGCATCCCCTCCACAAAAGGGAAGGCGGTGAACAGAACTGGGAGAGAACCAGATGAACACCCAGCTCCCTCTCCTCCATAAGCCCTAAGAGCTGCCCCTGTAGAAGTGGCCCTGGGGTCTTGGCCTCTGACCTCATCACCACGAATGTGCCTCGGGCCTGCCTTGGCACACACTGTCCTTCCTCGGAGACTCACGCCACCCATCGTGCACATTGGTGGTCCCCATGGGGCAGGGTGGGGGGAGGATGGGTGTTGGAGATGAGGGTGGAAGAGAATGGATGGGTCTGTGTACACCCCTCCTGGGCACCTGGGAAACTTTGGAGATGTGTGTGGCCTACTGATGGTGAGTGTGGCTCAGCCGTTTCCATCAGACGCACTAACCCCATGTGACACACAGGACAAATGTGCAGAGATTTCACAACTTTATTGAAAACACAGAAAACGTGCCCTAAAATAGTGGGTCAGTGACTCGGCACGTGTATGTAACACACTTGGCAGGCACTTGGCAGGCACTGTGTGCTTGATGGTGAGGTATCAGAACTTCAATCTGGCTCAAAGGCACTTTCGACAAAGCTGTCATGGAGACCATTCAAGAGGAAACGGGGCTACAGAAAGGCCACCGGTGATAGGGGACCAGGCAAGGCCACGTGAGGGCAGCCGGAGTGAATGGAGGGTGGTAGAATCCAGGGCAGAGGCAGAAACAGAGGGGGTAACGGTGGCATGGGCAGGAAGGCCAGCATGGGGGGCATGGGCGGCATGGGCGTCAGCTCCAGGGGCATCGGCTCCAGGGGCATCGGCTCCAGAAGGACCCAGACCCACTTCGGCTCCTGAATGAGGGTGGTGTTGCCGGGTCCACCCCAGTTGCTGACCACAGGGTGGGCCAGGCGCAGAGCGGGCGCATCTCTGATCCTCAGTGCTCTCCGACATTTCCTCCACTTGGTCCTTCTACGCTTAAACCACACCTCCAGTCAGAGAGAAAATGGGGCTGCATTAGTACATGAAGCAGTTAATGTCAGACAGAAAAAAAAAAAGGAGCAGGGAAGTCTTGGTGACTTGAGGATGGGAAACTGCACCAGGAGAAGCTATTTCCTTCCGGTTAAAATTTTTTAGGACGTTTACTTAAAGGGCCTCCCATCAGACCCCCACCCCCACCCCAGCAAGTGAGCACTGATGACGTGCCTGGCTCTCGACTGGCTTATGGCCTTGTTTCTCCTCCCACCTATTACTATTCCTGCCACTAACCCCACTCCCTGGGCAGGTGCACCTTCGTGATGGGGGAAGTTGAGCTCAGGATAAAGTGGGTGCCTTTGAAAATCACACTGAGAGGAACGGGACCCATTTTGAACGGCCCATCGTTGGTGCACAGTAAATAATCAGTAGGCGCGGGCCGGATTTGTAAATAAAAGCTGTCCTCAGGGACCGCTGGGACGGCTATAGCGACGGAGCTGGTGTCGCCAGGGAGGTTTGGTCGTGGGGGCCCAGGGACTCTGTGGCTCGTGTGCTGACACCAGTGGAGCTGAAGCCCTGGACGCCGCCTTGGCTCTAGGCTGCAGATCAGAGAGGCTTAGACTGCTGCTGCTGCTGCTGCGTGGCCTCAGTCCTGTCCGACTCTGGGCGACCCTATGGGCTGCAGCCTGCCAGGCTCCATGTCCACGGAACAAACTCGGCCCAGACTGACCAACATTCTTGAATCTTGGCCCAGCCAAGAGATGGCGGGGAGGAGGCAACCACTGTTGCCTTTCTCAGTTCTGCACTCTCCACCCCGCCCCACCCTCCAAACCTGCCCGGGCTCAGGACCCGGGCAGCTCCCTCTGCTCTGGGTGCGGCTGCAGGACCTTGGACCAGAGTCTCTGGTGCCCAGCAAGGCCCTGCTCTCCAGGTGCTGCCACTCAACCAGGAGCGCCTCATCGTCCCCTCATGCTTAAGGCAAGAGGGTGCAACCTGCATGTTAGGAAGAGACTTGACAACCACGTGGGTCAGGATTCACAAAATGGCCCCTTCCGAAATATGAGCCAACCTTTAACAACTGAAAGAAAAGCCTGTGCTGTGGGCCCCACTGCTCCCTCAGCATCCCAGTTATTGCAATTACATCATATTTAATATTTTTGGATGTTTTCACACTGCAAATTTTACATGAAACCAAGGGCCTCCTCTCTCTATCACCTCATTTTTCCTCTCCCATCTTAGTATCTGTGCCCTTCTGATGCATGCATATGTAGTGTTAATGAGCCACATTAATAGAGCTCATTTTGGAGGAGGGGATAGAGTGTACCAGGGATCAAGTCTGCATAAAGTAAGCAAAATGCAAAACTGGCTAACTGAAGTTCTGGCGGCTACTGCTTCCATATTCCCAGTACTGCTTTCATAGAGTAACGCTTACTGTATGTGAAAACAAGGGGAGGTGTCCATGAAATATTTCTTTGGGAAATTCGTGCCATAGAATTTGGAAATACGTGGGAACATTCCCTCTTTTCCCTTATGTGTTTCCTGTGGGTCCTTTTCCCTTCAAAACTCCACTAAGAGACCACTATGTAAACCCAGGAGAAGCATGTCGCCAAAACTTCAGGTTTTCTTCCCCAGTGAGCTTGCTTTGCCTTCATAAGAGAGCAGAGGCCCGGGCCTCCCGAGCCCCGGCCAGACGTGACTGTGAGCCCAGCCCCTGGCCTTAGGCTCCCAGCCCCGCTTTCCAGACCCGCCACCCCCACCGCACCAGGTCTGCAGCCCACATCCATCACTGCCCTCCCACAGGGGCTCTGCAGGAAAGCAAATAATCAAACCTTCCTGATTTTTCTTCCTTCCTTTCTTAATTTTCTACCTTAAAAAAATATTCCCTTGATACAACTTACTCTGTTCTAAGAACACATATTCAGTTTCTGTGCCTTGAGCTACCGAGTAGTCATCACCATCTCAGTAAATGGGCAAGTGCTTCAAATTAACACAGTAAGCCACTGGCTTGGAGCCATGGACCAGGGACCATCAGAGACAAATTCTTCAAAACCAATCCCTCCATATAATATGAAAGCGGCAGAAAAAAATCCTTAGACATTAGAAATTGCCCAAAATAATATTCAGTGATACATCTGGTAGTTTCATAATGTTGCATATATGCAGTATCTCCAATAAATATATTGACAGTGACCAATTTTCTCAAACTCACCTTTCCAGGTCAGTGGAAATTTATCAAAATTTGTTTTTTCTTATATATTTAGACAAACTCCTAAAGGTTGCAAATCTTTCCTCCATCTCCATCATAATGCACAACCTACTGTGTTAGCAAAGTTTTCAGGCTGCACATCAAACAATTTCAGAAAATTAAAATTTACAGCTGAAACTCTACACTGCTCTGAGTGAGCGTGTGTGTGTGTGCTCAATCGTGTCTGATTTTTGTGACCCCACAGAGCCTGCCAGGTTCCTCTGTCCGTGGTATTTTCCAGGCAAGAATACTGAAGCAGGTTGCCATTTTCTACTCCAGGAGATATTCCCGACATAAGGATCAAACCCACATCTCTTGCATCTCCTGCATTGCTCTACCAAACTCATAAAAACAACAGCAGGGAGATTGAGCACTTGGAACTTTAAGCTATCCCCCTCCCCATCAGTCTCAGCTAAACTAAACACACATTAGTTGCTCATATGTTGTGTTCTGAGGCTAATCATTCCTTTACCCAAATGAGTGAATACTTGTAAATTCATTCCTTGCAGAAAGAGCTGATGCTTGGCTTTAAAATTTTAAATAATTTCGTATACTTGGATCCCCTTGTTTCCTTAGTCGCTCAGTTGTGTCCAACTCTTTGTGACCCCATGGACTGTAGCCCACCAGGCTCCTCTGTCCATGGGGATTCTCCAGGCAAGAAGACTGGAGTGGGTTGCCATGCCCTCCTCCAGGGGTGGACCCCCTTACAGCCCTGAAAGGGTGCACCCCAAATCTCACATGCACCAGGCCCCAGGGCAGAAGAAGTGATTTGAAAGGAGCCTCGATCAGACCTATCTGTTGCTCTGGAGAATCTCCTGAAGAGGCAGGAAACAACTACAGCTCACCCTGGGGACACACGCTGGCAGCATCCAGTTTAGGGTGCTTGTTCTACCGTGAGGACTCTGCTGCTGGCAAGCGCCACTCCAGAATCCTCGCTCTAGCTTATTAGTACCCAGGCCTGCCCACCAGCCTACTGGCACCAGTCCCAGCACACGCCAAGCCAAGCAGCTAGCCAAGCTGGGACACAGCCTCACTCACCAACAAGTCATTTGCCATAGGAGCTTCTGAGTCCCCAGTCACCCAAGAACCAGACTTGCCCACCAGAGGTCCCAGGACCCAGCCCCAAACACTGGTGGGCCAGCAGCCTCTGCACTAGGCAATGCCTGGTAACCAGCAGGCCAGGGGTCCACCCATGGTAGTCAGCCCACCACAATAGAAGGGCTCATGCAGCCCATATAGAAAGCACCTTGGAGCAAATAGCTCTGATGACCAGAGGAAGTGACATAGTGTATTTAATGTGATCAAAGGGAAAAAAAAAACTACAACAAAGAATACTCTACCTGGAAAAGCTATCATTCAGATTTGAAGAAAAGATAAAGACTTTTAGAGACAAGCAAAAGTTAAGTCTTCAACACAAAACATGCTTTACAAGAAATGTTAAAGGAACTTCTCTAAGCAAAAAAGAAAAGGCTAGTAACACAAATAAGAAAAGAATAAAAAGCAAAGTTAGAAGCTTTTGCACAGAAAAAAGAAGCCATAAAGAGAATGAAAAGTCCATAGGTTTATAGACTGGAAAAAAATATTTACTAAGGATGCGATCGACATGAGCTGAATTTTAAAAATATGCAAACAGCTCATACAAATCAACAACAACAACAACAACAAAAAAGCAACCCAATCAAAAAATTAGAAGATCTAAATAGACATTTCTCTAAAGAAGATATGTGTGTTTGTGTGTGTGCGCATATGTGTGCTCAGTCGTGTCTGACTCTTTCTGAATGTATGGGCTGTAGCCCATCAGGCTTCTCTGTCCATGGCATTTCCCAGCCAAGAATCCATGGGGTCACAAAGAGTCGGACACAACTGAGTGTATGCATGCATGTGTATGCGCACACACACACACACACACACACACGTCTTCCTTGGAGAAATGTCTATTTAGGTCTTCTGCCCATGTTTTGATTGGGTTGGGTTTTTGTTGTTGTTAATTTCTATGAGGTATTTTGGAAATTAAGCCCAGACATTTCTTCAAAGGAGACATATAGATGGCAAACAGGCCCATGAAAAGATTCTCAACACTGCCCATCTCACATCTGGACATATATCTAGAAAAGAGCAAAATTCTAATTAGAAAAGATACACGTACACCAATGTTCATAGTGGCACTCTTTACAATATTCATAGTGGCACTGTTTACAGCAGCTAAAACCTGGAAGCAAAATTAGGGTCCATCAGCAGATGAATGGATAAAGATGTGGTATGTATATACAATGCAGTATTACTCAGCCATAAAAAGAATGGAATTCTGCAGTTTGTAACCATGTGGATGGACCAGGAGAGTATTACACTAAGTGAATTAATTCTGACAAAGATGAACTTTATATGATATCAGTTATATGTGGAATAAAAAAAAACAGTACAAATGAACTTTTCTACAAAGCAGAAACAGAGACACAGATGTAGAAAAGAAATTTATGGTTACCGAGGAGGGGGAATAAATTGGGAGTTTGGGATTAACAGATGCACACTACCATATATGAAATAGATAAAAAATAAGGATTTACTGTATAGCACATGGAAGTTTATTCAATATCTTATAATAAACTATAATGGAAAGAATCTGAAAAAGAATACATATACATACATATGTATATGTAAGTATAACCAAATACACTGCTATCTGTACAAACCTCATGGGAACCACAAACCAAACATCTATAATGGAGGCACATACAAGCAAAGAGAAAGGAATCCAAACATAAGACTAAA